TTTTGCAAGCACTCTAGCGGCAAGGGAAAGCATTTTGGAAAAAAATGTCAAGAGACAAAAATGTTCAGGACACATTTCTCTATCTGCTCTGATAATTTGAGAAAAATCTGTGACAGTTCATTGAGCACGCTATGCTGGAAAAGTGCGTTTCTATCGTGCACTGCCTCTTATGTTCATACGAATATACATAAAATTAAACCAAATTGTTTGGTATTGTTATAAACAATTAATTTCGTACAGATTTCGATTTATTGACTAAATTTGCTTCAGTGTGATAGCATTAAACAGATAAAATTTTTTTTTCCTTTCTGTAATAAGCATCGTCTTATTGTTGTTACCCATACAACTACGTGTGTCAGCAGAAAGAAAAGCAAAAAGAAATAACTAGACAAAAGTGAATAGATTAAATGTAAAAAGCCTACGTAAAGCATTATGTGCAAACAAATCGTACACCACAATTTTAATTTCCATTTCCATTTGCTCCATTTTAATTTTAACTTCTTAGTGTTATCTTATTGAAGAGCATTTAGTTGAAAAAAGACATCATTTCAGTTTCTCTTTTGAAGACAATATGAGTCCTACTCGAGATACTCGGACTCGCTGCAAGCCTGAAGACAGTATTCAACATTTTCAAAACTTTCTTTAAAATATCTTTTTCCCTACAGAAGTACTATGAATTGAAAATTTCAAAAAATTCCCTGCGGTCATCATTTTCTTCCCCGAGCGCCGCTCGCACTGAAGACATGATTCTGAACTTCTGCGTTGATCAAGAAGAATTTTACCGAATGCGAGACGTGGCCTGATTGTACAGTTAAGATACTTAAGGATGTGGCAAATTTTACCGAGATATCCCGGTAAAATAGTAAAATTCTTCGATTTTCTTTAGGCGCAAACAAGGAGTGCCTCGGTTTTTCTAACATTTAGTTCGACTAACCACCGAGAACAATATTCAGTAACATAGCAATGTGCGATTTTTCCCTTCATGAAACTAACTGATGATGCGAAACTTTATCGATCAATCTCGGCTAAAAATGGGTTGTATTCTTCTGTTGTCCAGTTCTGGCTCCTGTTGCAATCATCATTAAGCAAAGAAAGATTTTCTATCGAACCATCGTGAATAAAAGTGAAGTCGCTATGTTAGCTCACAAAAACGCGATTGAAGTCGTAGTGTAGATTATCGATTGATCGCAATTGCTTTTCAGTCACAATTTTACATTATGAAATCACGATTTTTTTTTCAATCGCCATGAGTTGTGACGGTTCGACTAAACGATCATGGTCCGACAATCGCGATTTTGTGATCGAAGTCGGCGATTGATCATTTTCACTATCGATTAACTGGTTCTCAATCGATATAAGAAACTTCATGGGATTGCCCGCCAGTGGTGACGGTGGAACGAGCCAAGAGATCATGTTTCAACCAGTAAACTCTGATAATAGATCGTCAGAGAAAAGAAAAAAAACAATCGAACCTTATAATTGCCTGGATGATATCTGCGAATTATATATAGCACGCGATTGTGCCTTTTGTCGTTAGTAACTATGCAAGATGCAGACTATTTCAAGAAACTCCCTATGAATTATCACTTATTCTGGTGTACGACAAAACAAAATTCAGTTGTGTACAGAACAATACGTTCATGTCTTTCAATCGTCTTCTAAGGTTTTGGGTTTGTATGTCATTTAACTATTATGTTCACCGATTCTTTAAGTGAATTACGACTTATTTTTCAACTTGGGCAGTAACAATTTTATTCGGCTGAATATAGATTCAGATATCTTTTCACCATTAAAAACGTTGGGTAAGAACTAGGAACTTCTATTCATCAGTCATTGATTATTTCTAATGTAGATCGTTTTGCTCAATTTTTCGATGCTCACCTAGATATGGCTTGCTGATATGTTCTTCGTCACGTGCTTCAACGGTATTGTGTTCGAATCTCGGTGCAAGCAAGTCATGTAATAACCTTGATCAATTTACTTCCGTCGTAGTACCTAGGATCATCTGTCTGGTGGCATACTTGCTGCGTTCTGACGTACGATACAGCTACTCCGGCTAGTTCTCATGGCCTTCCGGAAAACTATACGTGGTTAGTGAGTACGTATGGAAGCTCTAGTAACTGGGCGAAAGGACTCTGTCCCCGGCTAACTTTCTCATCAGAGCTGCAGTTGATGACAAGTAACGAGATGATGACCATGTCAGAAGCTTGCTAACTGTAGGGGAGATATCGAACTATTGAAACTGACACTTGACTGCACCTTATACCGGTAACGGTAGCCTCAAGGTGGAGTATTCTTCCTTCATCGTTTCAGAAATGGTATGCTGAAGAAATGGAAGCACTGAACAGGGTTAACAATGAATATTGATCTTATCCGATAAAGAGATTCACTAAATGATGGTCTACTGATGTATAATTAAATGTTTTCAACTGTGGGTTAATGGTACACTAACGTCTACAACTGTTTCTTTTCTTGTTGTAATTACGAGTTTACTATTTTGTACCTTTAGATTATATGATTAAAATAAGTATCATATTCTTGATTTGAAAAGATTTAGTCATTATACGCTTAAATGAGCATGCGACACCAATTTTTCTCTTTTTCTTTACTATCTAATCTCATACAAAGAATAGCATTGACGCATTGTTTGTTTGGAGGAAATAGAACAATAATTATTCAAGTACAGACGGTAAGCAACAGTTAAGTTAGATGTACTTTGCGTCTGCTATTAGTGAAGGATGACGTGTGTAAGGTTCTTTCCATACTTTGGGTGCCATTTGGTTTAGCTTCTAAGTTAATATATGTGTACTAATCATTTGCTTAGAGCATGTGATGGCAGTTACTAGAGAAACGGGAGCTTTTCCCATACCATTAGTTAGGTTTTTTGTTACAGTTAAAAAAATAAGTACTCCGTCGTGCATGCCTTAAAATTATTTTCAATTTGATAACACCTGCTTCTTTCTTTATAGTTTATCTTATATTTTTTAAATTCAAGCAGTGATTATGCCATTATCTGCTGTCGCTGCTGGTGCACTATGTTTCATCACCATGATCAGTTGTGTACCAGCTGACAGTTTCATTAGCCAGACCGGTGTAGAACGCGACGTAGTTGCCGCAAGAACACGAAATGGTAAATGTAATTATGATATAGATGAAAAGGCACTTATTCACCAAGGCTATTATAAGAAAGTATTTGAAGATAATTTTAATACCAATCTTCATAATTGGAAAATCTGGACTGGTGGAGCGTACAACCAAGAACTTCAATATTATCAGTCATCTAATTTAAAAGTACAAAATGGTAAACTCGTAATTACAGCAAGAAAAGAAACAGTTAAAGGCGCTACTGTACCATCTAACCCACAGTTGAAAACATTTAATTATACATCAGGAAGAATCGAATCTAAAACCTATTTTACACCAACTAAATCCTTCTCAAAAGTACGAATCAGTGCACGTATTAAACTACCTTCTGGTTATGGTATGTGGCCAGCATTTTGGACCTATAATGATCCATGGCCAACAAAAGGCGAAATTGATATTATTGAAGCGCAGGGTCAATATCCATTTCAATACACAACAAATTATTTTTATGGTAGCCAACCTAACATACCGCAAACGGATGCAACTAAAATCACTTCTCTCATTACTTCAAATGTGAGTCTTACAAAATGTTATCACGTGTATGAAGTGATATGGACAAAACAGAGTCTAATATATTTACTAGATGGAAAAATAATAAATAAAAAATCGGCCAGCACGCCTGCAAACAAATACATTCCCAGTTTATTTGGAAAACTTCAACGGATTACTTTGAATGTGGCGGTAGGAGGTAATTATTTCGTGAATTTAGATCCATCAAAAATACATCCTGATGCCATGTATGTCGATTGGATTAAAGTATTTACATGATATTTGTACCATTATATAACGGAGATATATTTTATAGTGAACAGTCACTTATTCGAACACTAATGAATGGTGTATAAGTAATAAACCACTTTTGCTTTCTTTTTTTGGGACACTTACTATAGTTTGAAGATCCCATTCTAGACTCATTTGACAGAAAATTCTCCATTCTTCAAAACCCATTACATTCTTTCATTACATATTATTTCATTATTTAAAATAATAGTGTATGAGAATGATGCTTGATTGAGGTTGAAGTCAAGGTCTATCCAGTATGAACGTTTTGGACTCCCCCTTGTGAAAAGTTCCTAAATAATTTTGCAAACCTATCTAGTTTCTTTTACGAAGAGATGATACCTACTTTTTTACTTCAGTAGAATCGCCATTAAACGAGCTTTAAAAGTAGGAACTGCTTATTTTTCATTTTGCTTTGACACCGACAAAAATCACTTGTAAATCAGGAGCCCAAAAACCGAAATTCTGTCCGTCATTCTCTATTTTCTTTATTAGAACTCACTTTTTATGCAATGAAAGTATTCTTTTCGGGGTCAGCCTCTAAACTGAGTCGAATTATATACCTTTTTATCCTACTTTTGTTTTCTTCGAATTTTCAAATCCAGAAAGTGCTGAGACTTTCACCAGAAAAAGAAAATCAACGAAAAATTTCTAAACGTATATCATTCGACTCAGTTTTTGACGCTGACTCCGAATAGAATATTTTCATTGCATAAAAAGTGAGTTCTAATGGAGAAAATAGAGAATGGCGGGCAGAATTTCGATTTTTTGGCTCGTGATTTACAAATGAGTTTTCTCGGTGATTAAGCAAAATAAAAAAGGAGCAATTCGTACTTTTAAAGCTCGTTTAATGGCAGTTCTAATGAAATAAAAGTCGGCTTCATCTCGAAATTATTAAGCGGATCAGTAACGGAGCTTCTGCGAATATTATGTTTAATGCACGTAGCGATTTTTGACAGGTAAGAGCGATCTCGTCGATGCGTCGAGCATTTTAACTCGTAAGAAAAGCCTAAGAGTTAGAAGTTTCTTATTGAAAAATAGCGCAACCGATGCGTAGTTATTTAGTAAAAAATAAGCCATAATTATCTGTCTTTAGAAACATGTTGTACATACTTTCCACAAATTTTATTGATTTCACTGATGTTATGCCAGTTCGCAATATGTAACAGATTCATTTTTCATTGAATGTCAAAAAAACGAAAATTTTCGGTCGACTTTTCTTGCAAACATCTGGAAGAAAAGAAAATCAGTCAATCTTACAGAATAAGTTCTAGAAAAAATATCCACAGACAATCAGAAAAGAAAATATATTTTAATAAATACTGCATAAAATCCACAAAAAAGACTAATAATGAGGGAAACTTTCTCTTTACACGTATGAGAAAACATGCGTTCGAATATTGTCTATATACAATGTATTTTTCTGAGCATTTAAGCTTGACTCCAGGTAGAGGTAGTACGTTTCAAGAGCAAGAAGAATTGCTGCTTATATGTATGCTGTTGTTACAAAAAAGGTTGAATATCGGTTTGCTTATTGTGGCAACACGTTATCATGCACGCGCACATTTCATGTGGGGCAATTGTCGTCTTGAAGTAGGTTTGGTGAGGCAGTTAGATTATACTGTCCTAAGCACTGGTAAATGTTGACAATTAATGTCTGATCTTTATTAAGATTTATTACTCAGGTGACGGTATCTTTCTACAATACTTCTTAACAGCTGCAACCCATCTACATTGCTGTTAGGCCCTCATATCGAGCTGTCCAATGGAAAGTTGAAATGCTTACTTTATGTGCGAATCTGGTAGTGCTGCGTTGTTGTTAGGAGATCGGGAAATTTTTATTTTCATAGACAGCATTCAGCATTGATTATTGAAACGAGTATTCGTGCGGCTAACCGCGGTTAGTTGTCGGCTTTTTCGTCAAATAAGTAATATCGGTTTAACTCTTACTATGAGCACTTTTTCTTCTTTTCAGCTTTTACACTTTTGGTTCCTTTTCTTACGAATTTGAACTTTAATGTGTTCCATATCGGGAAAATCGTGGATTAACCGCGGTTCCTCACCAGCGATATTTTGTGGTTCAAAAACAGGATGCAGTGTAACGTATTCATTGAGAATAAAGAGGTTTGGATAGTTTTTTTCAAAATTTTTGAAAGTTTTGTTAGAAAACTGAATAGTTTTTGAGACATTATTGAAAGAGTACGATGAGTTAAAAAACGTTGGCTTACTCCACATTTTTTGGCAAAAAAAGTAATTTAGTCGAACATTAGCGTGTTGAAGAGCGTGCCCTCGTTTGCCCGAGATTCCGGAAACTGATTAAAAGGTCAAATATCGGTGTGTGTACATGCGTTGACTATGCTATTCTGGAAAATTAAGTGTACCGGTTATGTTCTAGTAATTAAAAGACAAGGGTATACAATGCAAATGACTTTTTCTCTGCTCTACATTTTAAAATTTTATTCAAATGAGGCGAGTTTTTTTCCTGTTGGAAAATAGAGAACAAGGAGGCGTGATTCTCACTGTATGACCTTTAAGAATATTACAGAGTCAATCGTGTTCTAATGCACTTAAAACCTTAAAAATGTTTCATGAACGCAATCAGATCAAGTTTCAGATACATTGTTGTTTTCAAACGAAAAACTATCCATTCTTTTTCAAACACTGGTATTTACGTTTCAGCACCAACCACGTTATTTGGTAGACGTTCCACCGGAAGCTCTTAAAAAACAATCAAACAATTTTTGTTCACTTTATAGATTCTTAAATTTGCATCAGTGCTACTCGATGTGTAACAGCTATTTCTCTCAGAAACGTACTCACGTTTGAAGAAACAAATGAGAGTATACGAGTCAAATGTTTAAAAGTCAAACTAAAAGTTAGGGCCTAAAGGTTTGGAACACCCTAAATCCATTGCTGACCTTAATTTTCTTCAAACTTGAATTTCGTGATAGGATTCTGGAAAACGAGGATTTCGAATTCAGAAGTTTTCAGGATATCTTAATGAAGAATTATTAGAGGATCAAACCGCATTAGATTCTTAACACTTGAATTCCCTTGAGACAGGGGTTTGGCGACAGCAGGAATTGTGAATCTTTAAGAAAAAGCTGAACGATTATGGCAGAAAGGTGAAACCGGTTTCAAGTTTCAAAATTTTTTTGGAAGAAAGGTCATGCAGGAGAAAATAAGAAACCCCAAAAGCAGATGGGTGTACAGGATGGTAAATAATATTATTCAACGGGGGTAACGCTATAATTCTAAATCGAACATATGATGAATTTTATACCAAATGAAAGCCCGTGAAAAATGGGATTTAGTAATGCTAAATAGTAAGACGCTGAAGGACTTTCGTGCATTGAATTATCAAATGTTACGACTTCTTATCGACACAAAATATTATAACGGGTGTGTCATAATAAACTCGACTAAATGTTACTGCATATTATTCGTACGTTCTCTTCAAACAAAAAGTCTTTTATATACCAAAAGATAGAAAACTGAATTCTCTACAAAACCTACTATCTGAATCTCTGAGAGCATTTTTCTTGTTTGAGCACCAATGTGATTGGGTTAAGATCAATAAAAGGTTTTAAACTGCTGTTGTGAAGTGCATCAGGATCAATCTTTCTTCAGGCACTTACAACAAAAATTATGTATTCCGACGTAGACAGTTTTTGCTTAGATAAATATAATAAATTTGTTATACTTAAGAGACAGCTCATGAGAGTGCCTTGTTTGAGATATTCTGGCACGGCATCTGACCAATCTCAGATTTTGCTCTTTGTATGCCAGTTCGAAAGAGCATGTTAAATAACTGAGAAAGTCAAAGTATTTCGTTTTGAAATTGTTTCCCTAAGGAGAACGGCTTACAAGAAGTTTGACGTCATCGATGAATATGTATTTTTATTACAGCTTTTATATAATTTTCAATTAACCTCACTTTCATTCATTAGTTCACCAATTTTCTCGTTTTGATCTTTTCATTCTACATACTCACGTGACTAAGAATAAGAAAAAAATTATGCATTTTCTTCAATTTTTCTTCGTTTTTTTTCTTCTTCGCTCCTCAGTACTCGGTATACCGAATACCGAAAGTACCGATACCGAAAATACCGACTTTTTTTGACTTGGAATTTTTTCATTTGAAATGAGGTATTTTAGCATCCTGGACAGGCAGAACGTATAAACAACACTCAGCTGTGTATTTTGAGCATGTGCAGATAGAAAAAAAAGAAAAACTTTGGCTTTAGAAAGCAAACAAAGCTCTTGTTTTTTGTCCCTGATTCATTCCGGGTGTTCAGGACGCTAAAACATCTCATTTCAAATGAAAAAATCCAAAAAATTCCAAGTGAAAAAAGTCGGTATTTTCGGTATCGGTATATATCGAAGTTCGGTATTTTCTGTATCGGTATTTCGGTATGAATACCGATACCGATGCATGCCTACTCAGTACCATAGATGAAGCAAAAAAAGCAAAAGCTCACATTGTCGAGAATCGAGTTCTGAATAAAATATACAATTTTGATTGTTTTTGCTGTATCACGAAAAATTTGTTTCGTTTCATTATGATGTTTTACGCATCCATCATCATGAAGAATACCGCGCGTATTTAAATTTTTTTACAAAGTTAGACCAATTCTTATTGGGTTCGCTATTCTTCTAAAAATTCGTCGAATAATTCACTATCGTGGTTTCTTATTGTTCGTTTTTTAGATAGACATTATAAATGTCTAGAGTAGCAGCAGTTAATACAAAAACGTCATCGAGAAAGAAAATCATATAGTCGTGGCAATCAAATCAAAATCCACAGAATGGGAAAGAAAGAAAGAAATGGAAACAGTATTCGGATTTAGAAAATGCATTTATTAAAGAAGCATATCAGAAGAAAGAATAGTGCAAGGTACGGTTAGATGACTATATTATTACTTTTAAACATGTGATGCAAATAAGAAAAGACGATAGACATAAACAAAGACCTATGAAGAGAGAAAAGATTGAAATCGCACAACGTTTAATGAACCCTGACTTGTTTTCAAAGATTTTTTAACATAGTTCAAGCAGGAAAGTTCGGGTTTGTTTTATTTTAAGCTAGACACCTGATTACATGGCCTGACATGGGCATCGATTTTTCAATTAAGCCTTTATTGGTTTTCCACGCAACCAATAACCTCCAAAATCGGAAAACTCCTTCAGGGTTTTCTAAAAATTGATAATTTGATAAAAAACTAAGGCCTAATTCAAAAATCGGCGCCGGTCAGACGATGTAGTCTCTTTCCCTCTTTTAAACAAAAAAAGAATAAACTCTCTATGACAAACCGCTATAAAAAATCTTGGGAAATACTTCAGGCGTAACTCTTACATAGAGAAAACGCTGTATTAAACGCTCAATTTTAGAACTTCTAGGAAAATGTCTGTAACTTTTTGATGCAAGGTCATAGAGAGTTGTGCGAGGTCTTATTTTGACCAGAAACGTTTGCCATACAAATCTGTATGTTCAGTAAAATTTTAATTATATAAGAACCCAGGAAAAAGCTATTATTTGAAGACCCGGTTTTCCAAGGCTCCTAGAAATCTTGCTCAAAATCTTCGGAAAAACACTTTTGTAATCAAGAGCGATACAGATTCTGAAAGTAGACTATCTTCCCAGGCTATCTTCCCATGTGCTTATCTCAAGACCGATGTTTTGACCGAAAATCACCATTTCTGACGTGAGTGGGGGGCTTAAGGGAAGAACGATTTTGTTTCCTGAACCACCGCTACCAAGGAAATCATTTATTGACGGTATAAACTTGGGATCTGATTTTATTGATGAATGGAAGAAGAGAAATTTAGCATTAGCTCATAAAAATGATTATCCAGAAATTGTTGAATAAATTGTTAAAGGTAATATTTTATCTTTTCATTATGTTTGTTAGATCAGAAATTCTATTTGTCTCCTCTTATATTATAAAAACTCAAGGCATTTTACAAGAAGGTAAATTATTGCATAAGGAATTCGAAGCTCAACTAATAGCTGATCGACTAAGAAATGTGAAAAATAAATCAGAGGAAGAAATTTTTAAATGTACTACGCGTCTTTATTCAGTTGAATAATTTTTGTATATATTAGTTAATTCAACTTTAAGAAACGAATATATGTCTAAAATTGATAGATTGAGTGCTTATTGTTATTTGTTGCAAGATCATTTATTGGACGTAGACGATGATAGAGAACTAACTGTTTATTGTGGTTGCACTCTTAAGGATGAAACGATTGAAGAATATAAACAGGCTGTTCGTAAAGATATTAGATGATTAGCTTTTACATCGACATCTAAAGATCGTGAAGTAGCTGAAATTCAGTAGTGGAAATACATTATTTATTATTAGTATACCTATACATGATGTTTACAATAACTCTCTAACTGATATATGGTCTCTTTCACATTATATGACTGTTTGAAAACGACGTAGAGCTTAAATCTTGAGATTTTGTTTCAAAATTGAACCTAAAAATTAGTTGATTCATTCTATGTACGATTTCGTTTTACAATTTAAAATTTTAACTAAAGTTTATTGCTAAGGTTATGATGTATGTAGAACAAAATAGTAACTAACTTTGACTTCTATTTTGTGAGGAAGTTTAGATAAGACTAAAGTGAGAATATTCATCAGTGACTATAATGATTATATACGAATTCGAAAACATACCGTGGTTTCAGAATAACAGTGATCTTGATGAACAAGAAATACTGTTAATAGCTGGGCATCATTTCTGTGTTGATAAAGTTGAACGTGATTCGGAAAGTGAAAAGTATTTAATTTATCTTACAGGATGGTGTTAATTTGATTTCATTTATTTATTACGCACTTTTTGTGTATCAAAAAAGCTTTTTAAAGTTTCTTTTTAACTTTTTTATATTTATTTAAATAAAAATATGTATTTTCTGTTCTTCGTTTGTTAAGCACCTCTCCGTAATGTTTTATAAACTTTGCCTAATTAACTTTGAGATAAATAATCACACAGATTTCATTAGACCGATTGTAGGGAGTCATTTTAACTATATAATAAGTTGATGAACCATCGAATATGTTTTACATAAGCCATTTGCTGATACCAGTCGTGTAAGTTTTTTCGGTAGTAACGCAGGCAACAGTTCAGTTATACTATTTTTATCGTTTGCCATTTCTCTAAGTATGCATATGCAAAATGATATTTTACAGATTACTAAAAAGTAAAATTCCTATCCTATTTACCTTAGCTGTTTTAATACTCGGTTTCATCATTGATATTATACAAATTCAACAAGTTGATAATGATTGTTTATATGATGAAATTCAATTCGGCCACATTAATCCACGTTTAATCTATTATATTATTTTTATCATTACATAATTTTAATTCAATGGCTACTTTCATATCATTAAACTACAACTCGTCTCCGCTATAATAGTCCTACAGAGTATGTATGACAACAAGCATTCTTGCTTTATATGATATGTACATGTTTCATGGATATGAGTGAAAATTAAATTGTGCCCGATTATTATTCGGTAGCATATTGAGTGTAACGGATCAAATAGCCGTAGTAGTTCTATTGCTTGATTTCGGTGCATGTAAATCTCTAGCATCACTAATTGCGTTAGAATCTCTATTAAATGATGGTTGGGCTTTTGTGCTATTTTTAGTATTCAATAACATTTTGACTGAAGATGATCATAGTGCAAAACATATTGTTATTGAAATTGTTAGATATACTATTGGTAAATTAATATAGAAACAGTGTTCATATCTCACTCTATTCTACGAGGTTTAGCATTCGGTCTTATTTGTGGTCTAATTAGTGTATTTCTATTAAACAGAATTAATAATGAGCCTGAAGTTGAAATAACTCTTACATTTAGGTATATCCTACTTGGTATTTTATGTGATTGATGCTAAATTAGACCTATCAACTGTACTCGCACTCGTTATTATGGGTAAAAATGCATCAGGATTTGAATACCAAAATATATAGTATTATGGAATATCCAAAATAAACTGACAGAAGGGTCTGTTGACAGATTAATATTGAGTCTGACCTTTTCAATCTAAAGTGGTTGCAACACAGTCTGTTCCGACATCATGATACATCTAGAAAAATAACTTCAGGTTTATTACCACAATCATTCAGATCTTTTTTTAAATTAAAAGAAGATGATGAAGGAACTTTTAAGGAAACTAGATCTTTTACTTATGAATCTATCAACATTTGAGTTATTGATGGGTAATAAACGAAGTAAAAGTAAGATTTTTACAGCAGCTTTATATAAAGTCATTTGAATATTTATTTATTCCAACGTTTCGAAAATTTTATATTTTCATTTTCAAAGAGTGTACAAATAGAATATTATGAACGCACAACAAAATGATTTTTCATTTCTATCTATACATGAAAACAGAGATGAAATGGAAAGAAGAAGAAACAAGGAGAAATACGACATGCTTTTCTTTTTCGAAAAAGAAAATTCGTCTTCTTTCTATTTATCATCGTATAAGAAAATACTGAATATAAGTGAAGTAAGTGAATATCATGGATTACATTGCATATATTTGTATTTACTACATAGATGTTATATGAGCTTAGCCATTGGGATCAGGTACTAGATTTCTCAGCAAGCCTTTCACTTAAACAAACATTGGTACTTCATGTATAGATAGGAATGAAAAATCATTTTGGTGTGCGTTCATAATATTCTATTTGTACACTCTTTGAAAATGAAAATATAAATTTTAGAAACGTTTTCAATAAATAAATATTCAAATGACTTTATATAAAGCTGCTGTAAAAATCTTACTTTTACTTTGAATCTATCAAGATAATTAGGAAAAAAAAGTGTAGCACTCGAGTGCAGTACTCGATATGATGCTTAGTTCAGCACAGTTCTATTAATCGGGTGTGCTATACGATCTATTTTTGAAAAAATCAGAAAAACATGACAAACGTCATAGTAAACTTTCAAAGTATTATTATTTATTAAAGTATTCGACAGAGTAATTCGATGAAAAATAAATGAATCATCATTTAGACTTAATTGAGAAAATATCACATTTCACTGGTAGAATATAAAGAAAATTCGGTTTTCAATAAAATATGAAATCAAAGTTATATCTCAATATCTTTAAAATATCCCTCGATTAGGATAAGAAAAATGTTGAGTTTCTTTTCCAGCAGAAAAAGGTTTGTTCGTGAGATAGTTTGGAAATTTACAGGTTGAAAAGAAACTTGCCTTTGATTAATTTTACTCTATAGAAATCTAAGACAAAATAGTTCTATCGTTTTGATGAAATTTTGTTCATATTTAATAATAAACAGTTATATTTCTTCCATTAAACATTTGTTTAATTTCGATTAATGTTGTATTTGAAAATTTATTATTTCGAATGTCTAAGTATTCTAACCGGTTCATTTGAGCTAACTCTTGGGGCAAATCTGTTAATTGATTAGTATGCAACTCCAGAGAGGTCAATGTTGATGATAATTTGACAATTTCTTTCGGTATCATTGTGAGATTGCTGTCAGATAAATAAAGTCGTTGCAAATTTTGAAATGAACCAATGCCTGTTACATCTGATAAATGATAATTGTTATTTAAGTGTAATTCTGTCAAACTATTTAATAATGTTAATTCACGTGGAAGTTTTGTAAACTTTGAGTAAGATAAACTAAGTGTATTTAATCGTTGAAGTTTTGCTATTTCAATTGGTATAACAGTAAAATTATTTTCCCCTATAAATAACTCACTCAAATTAGTCAAATATTTGATGTTGATTGGAAATTCATTTAATTGACAATAATGTAGGTAAAGACTGGCTAACTGAGTTAACCATTTTAATTCATCAAGTGATTTTAATGGATTTCCACTCAAAGATAATGTACGTAATGATGTTAAACGTTTTATTTCGTATGGTATTGATGTTACGTTATTGTAATGTAAATATAAATGTTGTAATCCAACTATCTCCGTAATGACTTTTGGTATTTCTTCAAAACCGCAACTGATAAACTCGATCCGTTGAAGATTTGTCAGTTGTTCAAATTGATGAGGAAGTGGTAACAGCTTTGGACTGAAGGTAATAGTTAACTGTTCCATTGATTTTAGCTCACCAATTTCATCAGGTATTGACATAAGATTATGGTTATTATAGAACTGTAATGTCTTTAATTGTTGTAAGTTTCGAATTTCCATCGGTAGATGAATTAAATCTGATGATTGTATACTTAACGTTTGTAAGTTTTTCAAACAATATAAATGTAATGGTAAATTATTTTCACCATTGATGTATAAATGTGTAACTTCTTTAGCTGAATTTGTACTATAGCCTGTTGTGCTTGATCGGTTAAACGTGTAGTGTAACATTTTGATCACATCTAAATCAGTTTGAAAATATGAACAATCCAATGATTCAATACAACCACCAATACGAATGAATTTTCGTGCAACTGAAAACAAAGATTAATAGAATATTTTTCATTCTTGCTATACAACCTCAACAGCATACCGTTCAGTTTTGAGATTATTGTTGATGGTAATTTGGTTTCATTTGCTGATACAATCAACAACAAAATCGAAAATATAACTAATACATATCTAAGATCGTTGTACACCATGGTTCTGCTTCCTTTTTGAATCGACAACGTTCACAAAACTTGTTACAGAGTGGCTAGATCACTTCTCTTTTTATATGAAATATTTTCTCTGATGTTTTAATAGAAAACTAATATTATTAGCATAATTTATCGTTCCTTTTGTGAAGCATTCGTTTTGATCGTCATTGTTCGAATCAGAGGGGACCAAGGAGTAAGGTGGGCGTCCGTTTATTCGAGTTGGCCTTTCTTACAATTTAGATTATGAGACTAATGTAAAGCCGAAAAATATAAAAAAGAGAATATTTTTCAATGTAATAATTATAAAACGCTTTTATGATCGAAATTCCAAAATCTATGAAGTCGAAGGAAAGACCCAAGTGCAGAATTTGAATGTTTGAATTGTTCTCAAATGGCACCTTTGATTTCCTCACCCCTTCTGATTCTGACTATGACGGCCAAGATGAATATTTCAAAAAAAGAATAAGCCATGTTAAACATGTTGATTTTGTATCAAAATATTAGAAATAATACAGTAGTTTCATCAAAATATTCGTATCAAAATATCAGAAAAAATATTTGTTCTAATATTTCGCTACAAAGTCAAGAAGAAGCGCAGAACAAAGACAAACAATTCAGATAAAGTAAAGTTCAAGCAGATATAATTTCTTCATATCACGAAAACGTCTAAGCTTCATTCTAACAAAACAAGTGAAATAATTTTTGCAAGGTGACAAAATACAGTACTACTATCGATTTCAAAAAGCAATTAAGATACCTTAAAACTGTTAAGAAATATTCTTTAGTAATAAACTGTTGTGAAAAACGATATGAAATCCCGGCGGATTGTTTGGGGCTTTTTCTCACAATTCCGTGCGGAGTCTTATTGTATTCATTGTGTTAAACTGAGTGTGTATTGAAATTATCCCATTATTTAAGTGAATATTGAGTTTTTTAATTTTACATGAAAATAGCAAAAATAAGTAGTTCCATCTAGTTTCAGTTTGAGAATTTTTTCGCCAATATCAAACATTGTCAGATACTCAGCATGGCGGATAACTCATCCTTCCATTTATTTCTCAAGTTATCAGACGTAAATAGGGCAGCATGGCTTGATAGTTATGTTGTTCGTCACGTTGTTCAACGGTATTGTATTCGAACTTGGGTGCTAGCAAGGTTATGGAATAACCTCGGGAAGTTGCTAATGTCTTGGTGCCTCGGATCTTCTGACAGCATACTCACTAAGTTGTGACGTATAATATAGCTTTTCCACCTAGTTCTTGTGGCTTTCCGAAAAGCTAGTACGTGGTTAGTGGAGTGTGTACTAGTGAACTCTGCGTCAGACTAGTTTTCTGGTCAGAGCTGGAACTGATGACTAGTAACGAGATGGATGACCATTTCAGAAGCTTGTCAACTACAGGGAAGATATCGGACTATTGAAACTGCCATGGCAGTACCCTACACCGGTAACGATGGTCGCAAGACGGGATATTCTGCCTTTCTTCTTCGTTTCCAGACCTAATGGGAACAAATTACAGGTGTCTTAGGGAACCTGATGCTATCCGAGAATTATGATGATAATGTGCAGTTTACTCGAAAAGTAATCGATCGAAAAGTCTTTTGCTGGATCAGTATTTCGCCGTATTTACAGCGAAAATCTCATACTGCGTAAATACTCGGAGTACTTTCACCGTTTTATTTAAAAAGGACGGTTAAATCAAAAGAAACTGCTGTCACCGAAGCATAAGACATAACTAGAATTAAATGTGCTTTTTTCCAATAATTAAACCGTATTGTTCTAGTCACCAAAGTTGTATTAAAAAAGAATAGTTTATGTATGATATTGAAACGGTTATATTCCTTATTTCTATTCCATTCTAATAGGTCACACGATGGAAAGACACAAGTTTATTTTTGTTCTATAACAGGGGAAACAGCAGATTTTGTGACTTTTGTAATCTGGGCTCCGTTCCACAAGCAATCACTTTTTTTCAAATTTTGTTGTACTCCTGGAGACTCCTCGGTATTCTTCATGACTTCGCTGAACCCGAAGAATTTTCCTGACTGGTTTTGAATTTTCCCGCGTTTTTTCCGCTTAGCCCTATTTTCAGTCATTTTTACAAATTTCATCGAATTCTAATCCCTTTTTCTGATTTTTTCTTGTACTACCAGGGATTCCTCCAGTTTCTCGAACTCTCGGAAGTTTGTATAGGATTTCCCGGGCTTCTGCAAATCGGGGAATCCACAGCTGCTTCGAATTCTCCTGTTTCCCCATTGGCTTAGATCAAAAAAATTGCCTGATGCGTTTTATTTTTAAATATAACGGAACGCGTCGCAACAAGCGACAATCTTATTTTCTGCGCCACCATGACCATATCCTAAAGGAGCAACTAAAAACTAGTTTTATAGTTGAAGCGACTTTTTCTACAGAAAATATTCAAATTTAAAATTCCAAGGTATAAATTGGGTTCAAGGAGTCTTAAGTTAAGGTACTGCGGTTCTAATAATAGTTTTTCGTTTCTTACTCTATCAAAACTTATAATGACAAGAAAGTTGTCGGCACCAACACAGGGATGCCAACTAAAAAAAAGGTAAAGGGGGACTGTTTTTTTGTACAAAGGGGAACAGCACAAAACACACTATTTGTCGTGCAATGTCATTGAGAAAATTAGAGGCACGTGAGTATATTCTTTTATTCTGGTTTTTCGAATATTACTATGAGAAAACAAAATTTAAGGCAAATATCTTTTGTTCAATAAATGATCAATTTAAAACGTAATTTTTTACTTCTAGGTACATATTTTTCACTTCCACAAATACTCTTGAGAAGTTCTTTGTGATTTAAAATCAAAGAATGAAAATTACACACGTTAACTTTGTATTCATTCTAATTCTCAGTTCTGCAAATCAGCTGTTTCCCCCATGAAAATCTCACATAAGAAAAATTGGTCTCCGCTTATGGAGGCACATCTGGTCACCTAGCAACATCATAACCTTGAAATGGATGATATCCATCTTGTAGACCTATCTACGCTTTTTAATTTGATAGACTAAGCATTCTACTCAGTATACGTATATGCAAAAAGTTACGTATTTTATTTTGCGTCACTGCATAATATTCACATCTACAGCTAAATTAACATACAATTTGAACTTTTTGAATTTTCTTTTCTCTTCGCAAATAATAAATACATTACTCACACAGTTACTAGTTTATTTTTTATTACTAAGTATGAAAAACACAACAATTAATTTACAACCAAGAAATAAAAGCGGTCGAATGACATTAACACCTTTTTCACTAAATGATTTGAAGAATTCTAAGATTGAACAAATAAAAAGTAGTTTGACATCCAAAATACCATCACAAATGTTATTACAACAAATAATAATGATTGGAATATCATAACACTAAAAATTGCTGAGGTTTTATTAGCTCCAGTCACTAAACATTTAAACTCACGTTTAACTGTCGTTGAATCAAAAACGGATAACTTAGAAAAATATCACAGAACATGGTCATTAAGATTCTTGGGTTTTAAAGGAAAATAGAAATGAAATTATTCCTAATAAAATCACAGCATTTCTCAATAAGAATTTGAATATAAATTTATGTGAAAACTATCATGGTGTTCACAAACCTATTCGTGGAAAAGGTCGTCCTATTATCTTGCGATTGTATAGTCGTTCACTCCGTCAATAAATACTTGGTGCAACTTATCTGCTAAAACAAAGTAAGTTGAATGTGTTTATCGTTGAAGATCTTACTCGAAAAACATTGGAATTATTTCATTCTGTTCGTGTCTCATTGCCTGCGTACAAAAACGATCGGTTATAATAAGAAATGGACGAATTTATCGAAAACATTCAGATATCACATTAACGCCGATAATCGATTTTATTAGTAGTTATAGCTGATCAGACATCAACCATTGAAGATTCTTAACGGAATCTTATCAGTTTCTTATATAAAATTGTTTAAGATTTTCGATCGACAGTCGTAAGTGTCTTATAAGAATTTTATAAGATTTTCATACGAGGTTTGTAAGAAATTCATATGAAGTACCAAAAATTATCATGTTATTCAGTTGTACCAGAAGGCAGCTTATGAGTTGTTTTGGGGTGATTTCTGTTATAATTAAGTTGCTTCTATTGGCTGAAAAACTTCATTAGAATTTTTGGTACTTCTTATGAATTTCTTACAAACCTCGTATGAAAATCTTATAAAATTCTTATGAGATACTTACGACTGTCGATGGAAAATCTTAAACAATCTGACATAAGAAGCTGATAAGATTCCGATAAGAATTTTGTATTTCACTGCTAAGGGACTTAGACGTTTCTGGTAATATTCTTATATAAGAATCGATCACTAGGGTTTTTACGTCTCTGAGTTACTTCATCTAGTATATGCGCTTAAAGGTATATCCCGTATCACTTATTTTTAAACTTGTTGCGTTCTTTGTTCTTTTTCCTTCTTACTTATAAGTGTGCAAACATCCTATTCTTCTCTTTTACTCTTTAATTTTGTTAGGGTCGTCCTGTTTTGTTTTTGTTACTCACTTATGATGGGGCCTATCTTGTGATTGAGAATTTCTCTTTTCTTCCATGTCCATTACAAGTAATCATACGAACGGTAACACACATAGTATAGTACTGCTGAATATAAGAAGTTGACCTGCATCGCACAGTGTCCAGTTTCCCATCCCGCTGGAACTTTTGGAAATAATTAGAAATTAATACGAACTAATTTAAAAAAGTCTCATATTAAAT